TGAGCGAAATAACAGTGAAGGGAGTGGACCCAGGAGGGGGCAGTGACCTGTGTGTGACACCAGGGTGCCTGGGAGAGTGGTTGACGGGAGGCTGGAGGGCCAGGGACTGTGGCCAGGGAGGGGCCCGAGAGCCTGACAAGGGACAGGCTGAGCTGGCCACGTCGGTGATGCTGGGCTTGCCTAGAGATGACAGGAAGCCACTTACGGATTTTGAACTCATCATGGATTTTAAATTCAGGGATCAGATTTACCAAGTCAGTTAATGTATTACCATCCTAAACCCCGGGAAACGGAATTAGGAGGATAATATGCTGCCCCAAATAACCGGCCTCAGAAACCCAAAGGAGAGATGTTTCCTCCACTCTCCACCATGAAATGTCTCTGCTCCTGTCACTAAGCGATGGTTACAGCTGAGTGTCTGATAGATCAAAGAATGAATTCTCAAGCACTTGAGCAACCATGTTACGTGTGTGGGGTTTTTCTCCCCCTAAAACATAGCGACACTGTACATGCTGGTTGTTCTTTGGTCCAGTTAGTTGCTCATTCAGCAAACCTGTAAGGACACTCAGTGGAACAGCTCACTATGCGGGATGACAAATGACCTCTGCCCAGACAGGCCGACCTGCCTGTGATGCACTTGATCCCGCCCCTAGAACGCACGTTTGCCTCTGATTCCGTAAGACAGGGCTGGCCTCGGTTGTCCAGTAGTTTGTAGGCTTTTCTCTAAACCAATGTATGTTCTTATTCCAGTTACTTTTTCTAGCAAGTGGTTGTTTGAAATGATCAGAAATGTCCGGAGTCAAGGAAGTGGGTGACAGAACTAATATGTCTGTGTATGTTGTATATGAAACTACTTACGGGCTTTAAGTTAAGATCTTATGGGATCACACTTGCAAAGTTAGCTAACTTAAATTTGATTTCTAGTAAACACATACACAATCTATAATATTGTGTGTTATACAGATACCCTGAAAACTACCAGAAAAAATACAGCTTGACAGTAACTAATTTCATTCATAGTAGAGAAATTCCAAGTTTCCAACTATTCTCTCATTCTACTGGGGAAAAATGATTAACCAGGCATAAAATTTAGATCATGTAAGAGTTGTCTCCACCTTACTTGACTCTCAACAAACCAGTCATACCCTGGCTGGTGTGGCTCAGTGGATTGAGCACCGGCCAGAGAACCAAAGGGTTGCTGGTTCGATTCCCAGTCAGGGCACATGCCTGGGTTGTGGGCCAGGTCCCCAGTAGGGGGTGCACGAGAGGCAACAGCACATTGATGTTTATTACCTTCTCTTTCTCCCTTCCTCCCCATCTCTAAAAATAAATAAATAAAATCCTTAAAAAATAAAATGGTTCTTTAAAAAAAAAAATCAACAAACCAGTCAGGTTGGAAAATGTGGTGACAATACACTGGCATGAGTTGTGACTGTCCCAAGCTTCTCCTGTCTTTCACTGCAGGGAAGGCAATCTACCCTCTGCCCTGTCGCCCTGACATGGCCCCCAGTTGGCAGTGGCTGGCTTTCTTTGGAAAGGCCTTGTGGGTAAACTGCACTAACTGTGTTCACAAAGAATGCCCTTTCTCTTTCAATGAAAAGCTATGGAAGACATTACAAAAACAATTCTAAAAATTCTTAACTTATGCTGGGCTTTTTACAGAGACTAGTTCCAGAAGCTTTGCAAACTCACCAGAATATTTGCACTGCCATCTACTGTCCGCAACAGGCACTGTAATTTCCCTTGATTTTTTTTTCTTTTCTTATGTTAAGTTCAATTGAAGACAGGTCCATGTGTTTTTGCCTTTTTATTAGAAACTTGGGAAAGACAAAGAAATGAGGGGAAGTTCTTTATATTAATAATAAACATACAAATATTTTATCTTTGGCAATGACTTTATAGTCTTTAAACTATGGCTTAAAATAATGTGTTCAATGAATACTTGAAGTCCTTCTCGAGAATCAGTTAGCAGGTTGCTCAGGGGAAACACAGAAAGGAACGAGACAGGCGGGATTCTGTCCCCCCAGAACACACAGTTCAGTAAAGGAGGGAAGGGGAGGAAGGGAGAACCGACGCATGCGCCAGGCAGAGTGCAGCGTCTCGATGGAAACCCTGGAGTAAGAGAAGGCATGGGGCTCTAAGAGAGTTTAATGCCCTGGCTGGCGTAGCTCAGTGGATCAAGCATGGGCTGCGAAACAGGCATTGCAGGTTTGATTCCCAGTCAGGGCACATGCCTGAGTTGCAGGCCACCGCCCCCAGCAACTGCACATTGATGTTTCTCTCTCTCTCTTTCTCCCTCTCTTCCCTCTCTAAAAATAAATAAATAAAATCTTTTAAAAAAGAGAGAGTTTACTGCTGTGAGGCAGGGGCGAGACTGCCTCATAGCCATGAGGCTAGCTATGGCAGCTGAGCCATGGGGACCCTTGACCTTGAGAGAAAGCAGTTTAGGCCTCAGCAGTGACCCTGGTAAACTAGCTCATGACCCATCAGGAGTATTTTTGAGGTCATTTCAGCTATTCCAGCAGGTTTCATTTATGACTATTAAAAAACCCATGAATGAACGTTGGTGCTTCCTTCTTATTATACAGGTTTAATAACTTGTATTAAGTTATTGAACTTGGATGGCTCCCCTCCAGTCTCAGCTCTTCTTGGACATTGCCATAGAGGCTTTTCTAGGGGAAAATGTCCTAACTGGAGGTTCCCCAATTCCTTGGAGTTTTCAACATGGTATTTTCCTGTTTTGACTTTTTGGAATACTCCACTGACAAATGCACTGTGTAAAACATTACCTTTTTCGGAGAACTGTTGGGAGCTCAAGAGTTTATGAATCAACAGTCCTCAAACCCTTCGGTCCTGGGACTTCTTATGTTCTTAAAAATCACCGAGAACCCCCAAAAGCTTTCCTTAGTGTAGGTGAAAAATAATAATATTTATTATATTGGAAATTATATTGAGAAGTAATATTTTTCATTAAAAATAAAATCATTTATATGAACATAAATAACATCTTTTATAAAAAAATAACTGTAATTTCCAAAACTGCAAAATGGTGAGCAGATTGACACTTTTACATTTTTGTACATCGAACGTCTGATTCAGTGGGACGTAGGTTCTCGTACCCACTTTGGCTTCAGTCTGCGGTGATATGTTGCTTTACTTAAAATGTATGGAGGGAATCTGGCCTCACACATATAGGTGGTTGAAAAGGAAGGAAACTTTTAATCACCTTGTCATACACTTGTAGATATTCTTCTTTGATACCCCTTCTAAAAGTCAATGAATGGCAGTTTCAGAAAAGTTCGTTACATATCGATGAGCCCATCATGCCCTGTTATATCAAAACCCATCAGTCTGTGTTGAACTTTAAATGGGTCTTTTACCACCACATGATTTATAGCATCGTGCTTTGAGAAAATATTGGTTCACTAAGTCACGCAAATCTTCCACATGGCAACCCATTTGTTTTATAAAAACCACTACAGTGCCTTCATTGACATCACCACTGATCCCGTAAGAAAAGCCCTTTAAGTATTAGGTTGCTGTCACGCTTACGATGGTGGGTGCAAGCTTTCCATAACTTTAATTTTTGCTTGAAAGCTCAATCAAATGTATCATTGTCAACAAGTACTGTCGATTGTCCTCTTTAAAGCAATAGGCCCACTTCATTATTTATTTATTTGTTTGTTTATTCATTTCAGAAAATGATGGTTCTCCTTTAAAGCTAGAGTTTGACGTTCCTTCCCGTGACTCCCTGTCACAACGGTTCTGCACTCATTGCTTCTGCAGGCGCGGGGGCTGCTGCTTCCCACAGGGGCTCGGGGAATGTCTGTGGGTTGAAAGTTTGAATGGATGGTTGACCTGCCCAATGAGGGACGCAGGCCTAGCCCTTTCCAGGACCACCAGGCTGCAACAGCCTCCCGTCTGTGTGGTCTCTCCACCAGAGGTCTCATCCACACGGCAGCGAGCATTGTAGGTGCACTGACCGCTGGAGAAAAGACTCGGGTTTCTAATTTGTAAATTGGGAGCATTTACAGCTAACTCTGTAATTTCAAAGAGTGTCTTTGGGAACAGAGATATGAAGTGTAGTTCAAACGGAAGCTGGAATATACCGGGAACTCCAAACTAACACGTAACAAAAAAGATTATAATAAAAGCAGAACTTTGGTTTTTCTTTTTGCACCTTCTTTTTCTCTTCTTAATCAAATAACTTCAAGTACATCTGAAAGTCAACATTCTCTGCATACTCTGAATTCTATGTTTCTTTGAATAAAGTCAAAGAAACTTTCCATCCCTAAATTCTAATCTTCGAAGTACCTTTGTCAATGGCCTGGGCAGCTCATCTGGGCTCCTTAAATAAAAGAAGAGTTAATACACTGCTTCTCATTTTGAAAATACCGTTATTACGAAAGAATGCAAAAGTCTTAGAAGCTGGTTATAAAATTTAAAACAAATTAAGAGAAGTGAGAGAGAAGTTACATTGCAAACCTAGTGAAAGTAGTCAGCTCAAGCACAGTAATAAAGACCTCAAACTAAGAGAGACAGAGAGAGAGAGAGCAGAGGAAGAAAGGAAAAAAGGGAGGGAGGGAAGACGACTAAAATTTGGAGAGGGTTTAAAAGACATTTTCAGAGTTAGGAGCCCTGTGGACCAAAGCTGAACATAAAGCACCACAAATTGTCACTTCACTTGCTTTTTCCCCTAATGGGGTGTCGTGGCTCCAGTAACCACTCCCAAAGGAACCCAGATTGGGGCAGTGAAATGTGCGCGGGAACAAGGCCTTGGCCGTCTGTGATCTGTCTGTCCTTCTTTCCCAGCAGCGCATGGTCAGAGAAGGCCCCTGTTGTAGAGCGCACGCTCAGGGCACGGGTTCATCAACGCCAGCGACCAGCCAGCAGCAGGACTGTTCGCTGCACGGGAAGAGCGCTCGCTCAGATAAAATGGGAGTCATGGCTGCCAACGTTGCGCCACTAACAGTTGCTCTTTCTTTGCCCCTTGTCCACAGAGCCGAAAGTAAGCTGCAAGCTGGGCCGGTCTGCGTCCACATCAGGCGTGCCCCCTCCGTCCGTTAGCCCTCTCAGGCAAGCCAGTGACCTGCAACAGAGCCAGGTACCATCATCGTTAGCCAATCGTGATTGACTTCCTGTGATGCAACATGCCAAACGCTCCCACCTCTGTCTGTCCTGTGTTGCCGTAGACGACGTTTGCGTTGCTTTTAGTTCCCTGTGTGTATGGGTTGCCGGGGGAGGAGTGTGGCGGTCTGTGTTCTCATCCAAAAAGGGGCGGGTCTCTCTCCCCTGCGATTGGGTGGGACTCTCTCTGCTGTTACCAAACCGTTTGTGTCTCTGGTTTCCATTCTTCTGTAACGTAAATGTAGTAAACCTGTACTATATGTATTGGCTTAGTGGTTATTTTTTTTTAAAAATTCTTCCTCTCTTCCATGTTTTGTGTACTTTTTATACTGTCTCTGAAAATTTATCAACATTTGATAAATTTACCTACTTTGTTTTATGTAGATTTCCTTTTCAATGTTTTGTCTATGATGCACAGATGTCGTCAATGAATTTGTACATATCTTTTAGCTCTGACCTTATTATACTGTAACATTTGTGGCCATTTAACTTTTATTTTTATTTAGCCTGGAGCATGATTGTAAGACACTGTGAATAGTGATGTCCTTATAAATATTCATATACCAACTGATTTGGATTGAATGTAGCAGCGAGTTTCTCTCTTAGGCCATGAGGACAAATTGGCGTACGAGATAATCTAGAGATTTACCAAATACTGTAGCTTAATAAGGCAATCTTTAAATAAATGGCATTTTCCTCTTTTACCAATAATACCAGAAATGTTCTCAGAAAGGGGATGTCTAAGTATCCATGCATGGTCAATGAGATCTCTATTATCACCTGAAGAAACGAGACAAAAAATAAAGGCATAAGCAAAAACATCATCTAATCCTTCACAGTACAGTATGTTGCTCTGATGTTCATTTGGATACATGGTTGTATACGGGGAATTTATTATGGGGAAAATTATTACATGTTACTATCTGTAATTCACCCCATAGAAATTCAATACCTTAACTTAATTTTTTGACCTGTAATTGTCACTGGTGTGAAATAGGGTATTATCATCCTGGAGTGGAATCTCTCTGCTTCTCAGCTTTAATCTTTGCATTTGTAAAACCCTTATGAAATAGTAAATTATGAAAGTAGGGATGAAACCTCCGTGAGAAACACAAAACCGAATATTAAGAATGCTTCTGCCTTGGCCGGGTGGCCTGGTTGACTGGAACATCCCACACACCGATGGGTCGAGGGTCTGATCCCCACCCAGGGCACATACCCCAATCAGGGTACACATGGGAGGCAACTGATCGATGTTTCTCTCTCCCTCTCTTTCCCCTCCTCTCCTCTGTCTCTAAAATCAATAAAAGCAAATTCTTGGGTGAGGATTTAAAAAAAGAACAGAGAAACGTCAATGATATGTTCTCTTTCTCATTCCCGCGCTACTGTTATTACAGATGTGACTAGTTTTGCTAAGATTATGCATGCCATATTCCCGCCCTCAATCCGGGAGACCCAGAACACACCCATTACAAGATCTCATCCGATCAGTTGTATGTACATTTCCAAACGCTTCCATCCATTCAAGGCTTGGTGACGGGAGAAAGCTGTGCCAGAAAGACGATGAGGGGGCGGGATATATGTTTTAGGGGAGTTGTGTACCATCCAGCTGAATGTGATGAAGAGGCCCCTTTCCCACCACTCCTTGTTCACGTGCTGGGCAAACATTTCTGTTGTTGTTGAGACTCTGCAATATTCCAGCTCCTCCTCTCAGGCCTGAAGGGAGAGCACGGTCTGCACTGGGTTGGCACCTTGACACCGCTGGTCCGATCGTATGCTCAGGGTTGCATCATATGATGGAAATGGGGGGGTGGAAGCAGGAATAGAACACACAGCCGATCAGCAAAAGCTGAATTCACTGCATTGACACATAGCTCCCCACCACACAAGCTGTGCAGTAGATTTTAAAATGAGCCCCATTGCTTTCATTCTGTGTGGAAGGTAACCCGACAAGTATTTACAATTATGAAAAAAGCCCAATTGGAGGACGTGGAAAATGCCACTAAATTTGTAATGTAACGTCAGCAACACAGGGGAGAGGGGTTTATCTGCACTACCTTCAAACTGCAAAATAAAGTGTTATGTTCACAAAGATTACGTTACAAAGAAATTATAGTTCTTTGTCATAAGAATGATATTTACTGAAGAGATTGGATCTGGCCCTCCCTGTGTAATGTGGAATAAATTCATGTTACACATGGGAGTGTCAGTGGTTATATCCATGTATTGTCATTTATGATGGCAGAGTTGTATTAAAATAATGCAGGTGCCAAACCAATTAACCAACTAACCAACCAGAAGCATTGCCTTCTGTAATGCTTTTACCCACCTGAACAGGCCTGGCTGGTTGGTTTATGAAGTTGTGACGCTTCCGTACTCTGTGGAGCTCTCCGTAGTGGGTGCCATACTTAGAAAAAGAAATGAGAGTTTGTTATTACCTTGAAGTAGCAGCCAAATGCAGTAATGTGCATAAGGAAAAGTAGGCATTATTTGATTTGTACTTTCATGCCAAGAATTCAGAAACCCAGATGACTTTTCACAAGTGACTACAGGAGGGGCTGAGAAAATTCTAGCATGTTATTTAGGCTTTACATGCTTGTTACCTTGTGCGTGTTTCAAGTGGTGGAATAGTCGGGTCCCATTGAAAGGGCAGTGGGTTCAGGGCCAGTCTCTCAATAACTCCTGTGCTGAGTAGAATGAAATCAAGCAAGCCATCCCTTTGCCCTCGTTGCAACCCACCCCCCATCCAAAAATCTTACCATTTATTCCCAAGGAGTAGGAAGCAGAGTATGATAAACAAGAGGATGTTGACCTCTAAGAAGTCTTCAACCAGTGGACGGATAGGCGTGGGGGTGGGGGCAATCGGACCGTGAGGGTGTGCTCCACCTGACCTTGCCATCCTCTCCAAACCTGCACGTGGCCCTGTCCTCAGCATCCGAGGTGTCAGCTTAGCCCGCCAGGGCTGCAGGTAAAAGCATGAGGTAGCTGAAGTATAGACTCCAGCCTCCTTTAACACACGGAAGGGGTACAGAGTTCTTTACGGTTCTTAGATGAAGTCTGCAGGGTGAAAACCACGCGCCATTTGTCATCCTCTCTGTGCTGGGGCCTGCTGAGAGCTCCCCCACCTCATCGGAGGGGTGCCCCATGGCCCTGTCCTACCCCGTGGGTGCAGCTAGCATCCCACAGCACAGCTGAGGGCGTCAAAGGGACATCATGTACCTTGTCCATGCTTTGTACCTCTTAAATGCCAACATCTACAGTCTTAACTACTCTGCTGGGTAAACACCAGAGATGCAGAGGACATGAGACTTCTAGGAGAACCCTGGCCCCACCAGCCACTAGCTGTGTGACCCTGAATACATTCTTCAGCTTTACAAAGTCTGCTTTCCTGTCCGTCAAAGGAGGGCAGTGCTATCTGCCTTGCCTCGTTATTGAGGATCAAAGACATATGTACATACAGCCCTGGACAGACAATACTGGCTAGAAAAGTAATCGTTCTTTCTCCTTTCCCTTCTTGCTTTCCCCTTTTCCAAAAATTCAACTTTCCTGCTTGCTGCAAAATCCTAAGCGGGAGAGTCCTTGTATTCAGTGGTATTCCAAAGTGGGGTGGGCAGGTTTTGTCCGTGTGGTACCACTGACCTGGTATGGAATGGCTAGCTTGTGGTGATAATAAAGACAGATTTTTAGTCTGTTTCATTAGTGACTTTAAATTCTCTAGACAGTGCATCTTCCTATTGCCATCGATTGAGACAGAATGGTTTCTCCCACCCGTCCTTGATATACTTGATGTGATTTCTTCATTATTTCTGCTCCAACTAAAAAATTAGATGCTCAGGTATTTACTGTATACCAGGGAGTCTGTCTGGCATGGCTTCTCAGCTTGGGGACCCCACCTGTGGCTTTGAAGCAAAGTGAGTACAAATCAACGAAGGGTCTCTTTCCAGACACGCCTCCTGCTCTGGAGTACCACTCCCCCTCCTGTTTGAGTTCAAGTGTGAGTGAGCGGGATGAGCCCCTGGAGGCTGCACGGGAAGCTGTGAGCTGCCAGGGCCGGGAGGAAGGATGCAGAAGCACAGGATAAGTTTGTCACCGAGGTCAGCATTTACTCAGAACATCCCCAGACCGGCTGCTGTTTTCAACGCCTTGTTTTCTGATGTGCACGTGTAATTTACCCAGACGCGTGTTCAGTGTAATTTTAAGTCCCCTTACGTTGATTTAAACATTTTGTTTTTCATTTTTATTTTTCCTTTGAATGCAGAAAGTCTTGAGGATCATGCATTGTAGATTGTTATGTAAACATCAGGACTGGAGTTGAACAGCCTTTGGTCTCGCCCGGTGAGCGTGTGTGACTATACGGCTGTCCGTCAGCACTACTTTGTATTTCTTAAGCAAAGTCAGACGATGGAATATATGTGTTAAAAAATCTTTCGGGCCCTCATTTATTCCTCGGCAAATGCCAAGGGTGAGCTAATTTACTATGTGAAGGGAAGCCGAAGACTCCAGCTTCACCAACGGTGTATTATGGCACGTGGTTTCAGGCGGAGCTTTCACGTTTCCAATGCTACGTCAGTGTTTATCAACAGTTAGAAAATAGAGACTCTGGGAGGCTGTTGAAAAAGTTCAGCCGCTAGATGTATCCCACATGTCAGTGCAGGAGAACCTGAAGCCGGGGCCCCAAGCCTAGAGGTCAGGTCACCAGTTTACCGCTGTCGATCTTGCGCGAGTGGTACACAGACAGCTGTTGAAGGTTGGTCATTGCAGCTGAGACGTTAATAAGATGATCGTGATCAGCTGCCAGTGATTGGCAGAAGTCCTCGTCCTAGAAACCTTCCGCACCCGAGGCTGTTAACTATTGAAACCGGTATCAGCCCGTGAGGGCCAGCCTCGCTCGGGGAATGCAGCAGAACTTTAGGTGGACACATACCGCCACCTAGTGTCTGAAGTGCGCTTTGCAATTTGTACGTGGGTTTTAAAAAC